GGACACCCCGCCGCTCATCCATCACGAGGCAAACAGTGAAGGGAATGATTGGCGTTTTGCAGGATTGATTGGATTGAGAATATCCATGTTAGTCTTTGATTGAACAGTGCATGTCTTGGCTTGTAGTTGCTATATTCATTGATTGAATAGTAAATTGATTATGTACAGTGACCTTCCTCCGGGTTTCCCATTTTGTCCATGGATGAACAGGGGAAGGTCACAAATCCTCCTCTATAAATATGATGATATTGGATAGAGGAGGGGATCCATTCTTTCTCTCACTAAAAACTAGTACACTCTTGAGACAGAGTAAGAAATATATTTCGGACTGAGGAGATTTACCCGGTCTAGGTCATACTTTGTGTTCTTGTTGTGTGTTTTATATTACGGGTCGAGTGTCCAGGTCAAACCCAGTCAACCCACCCAGCTATATTTACACCATCATTTTTGGCGCCGCCCGTGGGACCGATTTTTAAAGTTTTTTCGACCAGGTCAAAACTTTACCCCCACTAAATATCCACAATCATGTCTTCAAGCAACCACAACGCTGTGTCAAGCCAGGCTGCGAGTAAAAGCACTCTTGCCGTCCCATTGATGATAACTAGCATGGGGACGACCTTTGCCCCGATTACCACGGTAGGATCAATTGGCATGATCCCGATCATGTCAACCCCTACTCCTACACCGACGACAACAATGTTCCCGGGCTCGATAACAACGCCTGGGGGAGCATTCACACCATACCCGTCAGCTTGGGCTTAATTTTCTGCTGACCCGGCAAATGCTCAAGCTTTACACGGCTATCAACAGGTGATGGCCATGATGCAACAGGCAGGTGGCCTTATGCCATCTGCCTATCCTGGCATGACGCCGCCAATCATGCCACCTCCGGTGTCGACCCCGTCGACATTTGCCCCTAGGATGGTCCCTATACGCCCGGTGAATCTGACAGGGACCATGAATGAAGCAGCACCCTCAAATGTCCATGAGGTCGATGAGGCGGAGCAAGAGGAGGCCCGCAGAAGGAAGGGTAAGGCTATAGCCAAACCCAGCAAGACCCGAGATTCGGCGTTCAAACGCCTAGGGGACAAAGAGGATGGGCCCCGCAAGTCTCCCAAGCTACGTCTTGGTTCTGAGATGGGCCGGACTAGCGCAATGGAAAGACTAGGAGGGAATCGTCCCGCCCAATCTCGTCGTTCTAGGGAATCTGAGACGATTCACCTAGACGAGGAGGAAGTTGAAAGCCAGCCCAGGGCATCGGCATATACCAGGCTCTCATATGATGAGGATGACCTGGACAAGATAGGGAGCGTAGCGAGAAAGCTATGTGCCCTGGAGGAAAAGGTGGAAGAGAAGGCGGGAGCAAAGAAGCACACCCTGGCCAAATCACCCTTTTCAGCCAGGGTACATGCACAAAAATTGAGGCGTAAGGTCAAGCTGGACGTGGAGAAATTCACTGGAAAGG